GAAGCAGAAAAGAGGAAGGGCAGAGAACACACTACGTCGAGAATCGGAAGCTTACATGAGAAGGATGAATAGCACCTGGAAATGATTGCCCAGGTCAGAATTTTTTGGAAAATGCTGGTGAGCGGCCTATGCTCCTCTATGAGGAGTAACAATAGTAAGTATGTAATGTACTCTCTCCTTACCCTTAAACTAAATTATATTTTAGTGTGGATCATGTGACTTTAGTTCATCTTAAATACAAAATTCCATCCAACATAACTGAAATAATGAACAAGCTACAAACAACAGCTTGATTTCACCGCAAGAGTTTAATAAAATTTAGATCAACCTTTTTATGGGTAGAATCACTCATATATTATCCTATATAAGATTGAAATGTATTTATTTACCTTCATTGTTGATTATAAATGGAATATAATCAATGGTATCAATGTCTTCCGTAAAACATTGTAGAACCACAGTTGATATGATAAAAACAACCGTTGTGAATTGAGCCATTTCTGTTATTCCTAGATGTGGGGAATTGGAAGAAAAATAAATAGATTAGTCGCTATATAGTTAAAAACTCTCATAATTCATAAAGTTAGCTTTGACCTTAGACCAATTAAGTAAATCATTTATAATTTTGTGCATTTTCCATATAATGTTTTACTCATTTGTCAATCATTTGTTGGCACATAAATAAGTTGTTATCTCTACAGTATTGTCATCTGTCTTACATTGATTCGTCTTATTCCGTTGTAATAAGTAGCAAGTGGGAGTTTTTTTCGCACTCATAACAAATAACCATACCAGCAACAGTACCAGTATTTTGTCAACTTATTACAAATACACAATATTTCAACTGTCTTACGATAAGTAGTACGATACTGTGGAGTAAAGGACTTTCCCATTTATAAAATATACACTATGAAGCACTCTAGTAACTTACTGGTTATTCAAATCTAATTAATATCATATTGTGGTTGAGCCCTATTTATTTAATATTTCAATTGAACAAGATCGAAGTTTTGTTCAGTTCTTGAATGATTCAAAAATCACAATAACAAGTAAACAAATAAACCAATATATATATTTGGAATGAATAAATGGAAATTCCGGTAATCAAGAAATACTTTCTTTTTCTATGAAGAAACGTGTTGTTTTACATTAAAGAAGCATTTAAAACAATCTATTTTAACTGTTTAAGAAAAGGTTTTAATATGTATAGGATCTTTATTTATTGATTTTAAATATCATTTTAATTATGATTTACTGCAAAGTCATTTTCTTCGATCGGCTTTATACCTTGAGTACAATGTTGAACCCGTTCACATTATAAGAGGCCTGTTGTTGCACTAATTTTATATTCAGTATATGGGAACTTTAATCGGGTTTTTTATGAGTTATGTAAATAATGTACTAAGTAAGAAGAAAATTACAATTTCTGATGAGTAGTGAAAATCATTAGATAGAGTATGGTTTTTATTAGCAATACATAATGAAATGTGGAACTGTACGTAACTAAATTAAGTTTTTCTCTAAATAGTATGAAGTTTTGAAAAGAAACTTTCAGGCATTCAACATTTTAGATAGTGTTTACTAGTGAAGTTCAATACATGTGTTTCTTTCCAATAAAAAACAGATCGATTTACCTGCATCAAAATGATTATAGTTACACTGAGACTTGTAGCTGGTACGCGTCATGTGGGAAGTTAAAGTCTTATCAACTAGGCCACTGAATTATAACTGTAGCATAATTGCTAAATAGGTATGTTAGTTTATTATTTGTACCTTTTTGCAAATTCCTTTGGTTAATTTCAAGCAATTCAGAAAAATCAGCTAGATAAAACGAATAATAAGATTTTTAAATGTATTAGCTTGGGATACATTTTATATTGCAGCCTCAATGATTTGGTTTTACACCAACGAAATATGTACTCTGAAAGATTTATGTTCGTTTCATGAATAAATTAATGATTCTTGAAGCTAATTGCCAGAAAGACGCGACAGCAGATTCATATTTTCATCTTCCATTGGAAGAGTATAAACAGTGATGAGTTGCTGACAAGTGGAAACGTTTTAAAACGAGAATAAACTAACAAAAGTGGGGTTGAAAGTTTCTAAAAGAATATTACCGAAGATTTCGCCCCAAAATATTTTTCCGGATGCTTCTTGACGAGACGAATTTACAGAAAAAATTTAAGTATACAGATATAGCAAAACATTTGGAGCTGAGAATACGGTATAGAAAAACTACCATAAACTTGTTAGCACCACCAAAATCTGAAAATAATTGAGACATAGTTCTACTAGTTAGATGTCGAGCTGAAATAACAGAACGACGACATGACAATGGATCTGGGGAGCGTGGGTTTTAAAGACTTCCAATAAATATACTAGTCCATGAAAATTGCAACATAGCATGTATCTCGTTATAAATGGGAAATATTTTGAAGGAAATACAATTTCTGTAACCTAAAAGTTTTGAAGTTGTATGACGTGAGTTTGAGTACGTGATGGATATTTCTATCCATTTGAATTACTAAAATAGGGAGGAGTTAAATTTTTATGATCCTTTAATTTTCATAAACTTACCTAGAACTCTGTGAAGTACAGGAATGTTGAGGCTTTATTCCATAAATTCATTACTTGCTACGTTATCTCTATCTAATCAGTCAGTTTGACTATATATCCCAACGAGTTGTCTAGCATATGAAACTAAGAATATTAACTTTCGCACTGACTTCTGAAAGCGGTCTTAACGAAATAATAATAGGGTAGATTTATTATTGGCTGGTCAGATCTGTTGACACTAGGCTATACGTCACTGTTAGTTAATTATTAGGAGAACAGGATGACTTGATTTACTTGCTATGTTTATAATAATTTTTACATGATAACATGAGGATATTATTGGTTTCATGAACCAAGCAATGTTAGGCCACTATTGACAAGCTGAAAGTACGGGACTCCTCATAAGTGCGTATCCACGATCTCGCACCTGGGAGCCAAACCTAGGAAATTAGCAATTAGTAATTTTTTAGTGTATGAGCCTAAACATTGTGTTTGATCATTTCTTGATGCTGCCAACTATTAACTATTAATGGACTATAGATATAACCAAACGAAACATCAAGTCAGGTGTGATTCATTACAACAAAATTTTAAGACGTAATACCGACTTATATTTGACATTATTATCATCACTTATTAGATATTTCAATGCATCATGACTTAACGTTTAGACCATTCAACAAAGAATTATATTTATTTTGGAAAAGTCGAGATTCATTAAAATTCTTTGGTGTGGTGCGTCTATGAGTCTTAAATATAACTAATTACACATCAAAGATTCTATAAATTACAACTAATTATTATTTAACAATAGGTGATTTTTTTCTACATTCTATTGCAAAACATACTTAGTTGTAGTTGGTTTTTAGATTGGGAATGAAAATCGTACCAATTATAATGAATTTTCTAATTGAACGATTATATTGGTTTCCTAAATCTAAACAGTAACTTATATACGAGAGAAAAGACGCGAAATGTGGAAAGAACGATCTACTCCAAGGAGTGTTTATGTACAAAAAATCGAGGGTATTTATAGCATTTCAGATGGCATAGGGTTTTTGGAAGATTCTGGAACCCTACTAAACATAGTGACAGGATAGGTAATCATGCAATCAGAAATATGACACTAAACTCTTTACTTTCTAGACGTTTCCGAAAAATTTCTACTCGGTGCTGATAGGATAAAACGTTTTCTAGCGTTTTTAGGGCCTCTTTGGGCTTTTCCCGAGGAATATTCTGGTTTACCTTAATAAATTATAGTCTAATAACAGTTCTTTTTAATGTAGTGTATTACATACAAAGCGTTTCATAGATTACCTTAGAGATTATGTTTGCGTTTATCGTGAAACTAATTAGCGGACAATATAGAAAACGATTTTTTTGTTTATACTCCATATCACACTGAGTTCCATGTAATTTATCATCGATATTTATGTTTGAGGAATAAACAGCATTAGAGTGAACGATCTGCATCAAGAGATAAGGAAGTTATGGAGAAAGATCGTTCATTTTAATAATTTTCTCTCAAATACTCAGTCGTAATTTCTAAACTTAAACGTTGAGTATGAATGAAATTCTCAAAAATCTGCATATTATTCATCTGCTTTTATAGCAACATAGTTTGCAGTAAAACTATCGATAATAGTAGGCCAAATAGTACAGTTGTAATAATTACTGTATGTGTCAGATAAGAATTTGTTAAAGGTCAAATTCTTCAAGAACAAATATGCTAGTATTAAATCCTACATTTGTATTGATAGCTAACTGTCTATTCTTCCAAATAATTAATAGATAATGTAGTGAACAAAACACGGGTGAGGGAAAATCAAATGTATTTAAGCACAAATTACAGACTATCTCACTAAATTCTGATAACCATACAGTCAACAGTTAATTTGCAAAATAACAATCAATTGTCTCAATCTTAACTGTTCCTTCTGCTAATATCAGTACGTCTTCTCTGATTTCATTTTTCATACATTTTCGTGCCGATCCTGCTTCATTCTTGTTCTTTATTTATCGATCTTCTGCCAAAAAACAATCTATGTCCGACCATCACCATATACTACTTATATGGATATAAGCAGAGTACACTACAATACTACGCAGTCTGATTAACCTTTACTGAAAGTTCATTACTCATTAATAAATTATTCAGATGTATTTAGATCTAAACATCACATCTTTGTTTATACATATTGCTTGGAAACATAATCAACTACACATGAATTCTTAAAATAAAGTGTTCGGATATAGAATAAAATCTGAATTAAACGACAGTTTGACATCTATTTTCAATTTATTAATAATTAGACCAAGTTAATGATAAAACTAATGACCATTGATTATAATTTATTTCAATTTAAGAGAAGACGAAAACAAAGAACACTTAATTAAAGTTATATAATTATATGAACAACAAATGCTGTTATAATAGGTATTCATCATTCTTGTTCTTCTGATTCATTAAAGTATCTAAAAAGTTATTAAATTAACATAAGAAGACAATACGTTTATTACAATGAAATAACATTATTGTACAATCGTAAAATAAATTTTGAAATTTTATGTATCATCATACATTTTGTTAATAAAATATATGAACTACTAATGTGGTGTGTGCTACTGATATTGACAGATATAAGTAGTATATACCACCAGTCAAAATCAAATAACTGGCGACTGAAAGTTGTGAAGATCGAATAGAGAAGAACGGGAACAGATAGAGATCGGTATGAAAATGAAGGAACAATAAATTCTGAGACAATTGATGGATATTTTGCAAATGAAGTATTCACTGTACGGTTCTCAGACTTTACTAAGAAATTCTGTAAATTTGTATTCAGATACGTACTCGTTCACAACACCAACAATTAATATCAGTCTTTTTTTCCAACATTCTATTGATACCAGTTCGATCGCATGTTATACAATCTATTAACGAATTTCATGTTTTTAATACTCAGTGCTGACTGAATAGCCAAACTGTATGAAATGTTTGAGGATGTAATTAAATTGTTGCCAATGTCTACATAGTTTAGGTTTACTGTATCTGTTCATTTCCTTTTTTGTTTAAAATATTGAAGAATCTCATAGGTATATGAATCCGAATCATTTGAACCTTCAGTGATAAACCTGATTATAAGGCCGTCATCAACAATTTATTTGCATGAGTTTTAAATACAAAGGTCAGTCATCTCAAAACAGAATTTTTGAAAAATCCTCATTTTTTGATGGCAAATTAATTGTTATAATATTGTATTGCATACTACATATGTCTTTCGACATAAGTAGTATGTAACACTAATCACTGTTTGGGCACTAGAGTAGTATCACAGCCCTCGCACAAATCAATGATAACTAATACTAGCCTCACTGGTATTGTGTGACGCATATGTATTTGGTGCCCCTTTATACTAATATATATGTGTTCAAATAAAATAAGTAAAGATATCAGAGTTAATTGATAAAGAAACAATTAATCATAATATATGTTGATTTAAATCTATTTTATGCAATATAAATATACTTAAATCAATTAGTCAGATTAATATGAACCAAATAATTTGATTATCCATACTCAGATCTAATGTTTGAACCAATTTAATCTATCTTTTAGATGAAATAGTGTTTAAAAATCTTTATGTCAAGTTACAAAAAATATGAACAAAATTTTTATGTGTAATTACTTTCTATTGACTTAATATATTACACTGAAATAATATCAGCCGCTTTTCGTAATAATTACTACTACTACTTACGCCTGTTACTCCTCGTCGAGGAGCATAAGCTGCTCACCAGCATTCTCCATCCAACTCTGTCCTGGGCAACTCTTTGCAATTTCTTCCAGTTGTTATTCATCCTTTTCATATCTGCTTCTATTTCCCGACGTAATGTGTTCTTTGGCCTTCCTCTTTTCCGCTTCCCTTCAGGATTCCAAGTTAGGGCTTGCCTTGTAATACACAATGATAATTTCCTTAATGTATGTCGTATCCACTTCCAACATCTTTTCCTAATTTCCTCTTCATCTGGAATCTGGTTTGTCCTCTGCCGTAATAATTACAGGGATTGATAAATGACAATTTAATCTAGAATAGCTTTGATCATATAAGAAAGAGATTTTTGGTACTTTAACCTAGTCATGTTAATATAAGGAACCAAATAGTCGAAGTCCTAATTTATTTTCGTTTACTTATCAACTACAATTTATCAGGTTCTCTACATCTTATTCGAGTTTAAAATTAAAATTTGAATAAGAGGAATAATTCTAAACAATGTATATCATACAATGGTTATTAAATTTTCATACTTACTCAGTTATCCGACGCGTACCATGCTTATTTTTCAATTCTTCTGGTGTTGGTGCTCCAAAGTCTATTTCAGTTTTACTTTCACCATCGTTAAATTTTAAAACTTGTTTAGAATTCAACGAAAATTTCACTCCACCAACTTCAATAACCATGTCACCTGGAATAATAGAAAAAAAACTAATTAAATAATAGTATAAGTAAAATATATTAACTACCTTTTAGTTAACCAATCAGAATTAAAATAATGCCTCAATTATTTTGAGCAAAGTTTAAAGAGCAGTGATAGACAACGTGCATGTTAATATTAACCAAATGAAAATTGGTATTATTTGGTTCTTAAAATGTATGGACCCAATGAAGATATCTGTTATACAGCAATTAATTCAATTTTAGGTGATGTTTAAACTAAATTACATGATATACCTGCTTTTAAGATAGATTGTGTGTCTAAGTACTTAACGTCATTTATTTGGTAATCACGAGTATTTTAAAAAAAAAGTAGATAATGTTTTCGCTTCCTTACTCTCACTTTAAATCTCGACCCTAAATTTCCCAAGTTTATAAACAGGAAGGTGACATGGCGTTGAATTGTAGCTGAAGTCCATTCGTGTTGAAAACCCTGATTCTAAATTATAAACTCAACTCAAAACTCCAATCTAAATCTCAATACCAAATCCTAACTAGTTTGTATTGTGACTGATGTCATGTAGTGATGAAAACTCTATGGGATGGTAACCTTAACTTACAACATTAGCTCAACTCCTAGTACTCATGTTTGTACGTACGTACGTAAGTATGTATGTATATGTATGTATGTAAACGTGCTCATTATTCTTCACTAGAAAGGGTTAATTTTTATGATTGAAGCTGTTATTTTCCTGTTATTTCATTACTTTATATCGTTAACTGTTTTATAACTAGGCAGCGTTTCCTGATTGGCTGATAAGTTGCCCAAGGTCGTCAGTTTATTATACTGTTACTTAAATAAGAATTGTAACTCATATTAAACATCCATATAAATTTTACTGATTATTTTAATAAATGAATACCGATTTTTCTATTTAAGGTTACTGAATAAAAAGTGTCTTATCAAAATTTGTATTGCTCAAACGTAAACAATGATCTAAAATATCTAAGTGAAATTGATTACATGAATTACAAGTTGAAATGTAGGTAGGTACAAATGAACTATATGGATACTGAACAACAGCTAATGCATAATTAATCAAAATGAGAAGTAAATTTAAATCACTGGTACAATTATTACTACTATTACTAGTTACTACTGTTACTATTACAACGTTACAACATTAAAATACAAAAACCATACTATGATACTCTATTTGCAAAATGTTCTTTAATTGTCTCAGGCTTTATTGTTCCTGGATTTCCACACAAATTGCTTTTTATTTCTGTTCTTTTCTTCTTGATCTTCTCAATCTTCTGCTGTCAGATATTCTATTCCTTACTCACAATATATACTACTTATGTCGATATAAGTAGCCCACACCACAGTAGTAATAATAATAATAATACGAATGATATTTAGTTTCATTTATATTATCTTACAGTAAGAGAAATTAAAACTTGTAAATCACTTTCGTAAAATTGAAAGATCAATGTTTGTAGAAAATATCCTTTTTCAGAAAAGTACAACCTACCTTTTTCATTTATATGAAATGGAACATTTAAGGTTTCACTCTTCCTTTTAGCAAATATATTTGGGAGTAGTAAACAAATGGTGAAAAAACCAGTCACTAGAAGATAATTCATTTGTATATATTTACAGCTAAAACAAAAGAAATTAATGTGCATTGAATTTGTTGATTCCAATAAAATATAATTCTTTTCTAAGTTAACATCACTGACTAGCTTTAGTTGGACAACCACTGAATACCAATAAACATTGAGCATCTGTTTCGTCCTAGTACGAGACTCGTCATCATTGGGCGCCCTTGATCCCTCCGAAGATCGAACAAAGGTACTACATGTGTTCCGGCGAACTCATAATCTTTAAATAACTGAGTTAGCATCAAATGGTTTACAATTTTAACTTCAGTTAGTTAGGCATCACTTTTTTAATGCGATTAATGGGTAACATCATCACATCCGATATTGTAGAACTCTGCTCGGTAAATTCTCTCCAGAAATTAGTCACGAGTAAGACTTCCAAGTTGTCTAACTATAGTCATTCCATGATGTAAACTATGAAATTCAAAAATCTCAAGTATTGATATGCTTAGGAATACTAATAAGAGTCTTAGATTACTATAACTGAAGCCGGGTAGAATTTACTGTCCTACGGATCGACCCACAGATTAGTTGTGAACTAAACCAATTATTATATTGAGTATATAATTTAATTAGTCAGAATATCATAGTCTGTTTTAATTTCTCTCATGTACTAATTGTGAAGTAGAGAATATATAAGTTTTGGAATAAACAAAAATTTTACTACTTACATGACTTTTGATGGGTTGAGGATAAAGAGACATTCGTATATATATATATATATATATATATATATATATATATATACCGAATATTTTTAAAGCAATCTGCTCATGACCAAAGGAATTTTCCAAAATTCATACCAACTCATTTACACGTTCATGGATTATAAGGTTAGTTCAATAAATCATGAAAATCTACTTAATATATATTGAATTAATTATTTGATTATTCTATCACTTATATATTTATTTATATAAATATAGGTAAATAATTGAAGTGTAATGATTTAAATGTTTGCCCTTGCTGATATTTGTGATTAAATTTTGACTAGTCATAGTTGGCATAGGTATATCCTATGAGGATTTTCCCGATAATAATAATAGTAATTCAAACCAGTACAAATTGAATAAAAATTCATATTCGATACAATTGCTAATGATTGTTTAAACTGAGTGGCTCAATGAATAACATAATGGCTTTTGAAGCAAAAGGTAATATGTTTGAGTTCAAATGTTCGGGAGAAACATTCGAATTATATTCGACGCCATGTTGCCACCTAAACCAATGGTTGGACGCAGATAAAATCAGAATATCCGAAGTTTTAATGTCAGTGATAAAGTGCTCGTCAAGTCATACACCGGAAAAAATCGTTGGGAACCTGGAGTCACTGAAAAAAGAATAGGAAATGTTCTATACAAGGTGCGTGGGACTTTCGGAACATGGATCAGACACATTAATCAAATACACAGAGAAAAAACGATTCTAGACACCGTAGATAGTTAAGTGAGGCTTCCGCTAGAGATAATTACAGATACTCCAGTGGCAAGAACCCCAACAGACACTCATAGACACAGGATACCAAGGAAATCCGAAAACCTATTACCAAGCTGCAAGTAGACCCGAAGAAAAAGTCCTTTTTCTTGAAAGGGGGGAGGTGTTGGGATGATTTTGCAAATTTCTCGCAATCGACATGACAAGCTCATGAAACATTACGGAGTATTTCATCCAATCAGCGTTTGCTTAGAAGTTATGTTAGTAACATAGCGAAAATGAAAAGTCACATGTAGAGATTCTGATTGGCTGATTAATACACTGCTAATATGTTTAGCGGTATTCTAGAATTTTCAGTAAAATCCTAAGGACTTTAAAATACTATAAAAATCATATATTGTCTGTACATAAAACGAACCTTGTAGTAAAGTGCTTCCCACATATTTCCTACCTTTTCTCTCGTCTTCAAGTCGCTGTATAGTTCTAGCTCGGGGATTACGAAACTAGCTTAGGATCCGAATATAGCGTTCAATCACAAGACGTATCACATAAATATTGAGATGCACGTAAATTCGGCTGACAATTCACACACTGGATAAAACATGTTTCGTCGATTTCACTGCTAGCCACATTCTATCTATTTTACAAGAAATTGATGATGTTTGTTTATTGCAAAAAGTAAGTTGTATTTCATGCAGTTATTTCTTCATCTCAGTTTCGTTAGTGTCAACCAGTGTATCAATATTGGGTATTTAGCTAGTTCAATAAACATAAACTGTATTCATCACATAACCATGAAAAATGATTGCTATTGGTGTAACATCGAAATCATTTTCTAAAACAAAAAATTAGCTTCAGTCAATAGAAAACGTTCTACGTATGATTTTGTAAATGAATTAAAACGTTTTTAGTAGTTTAACACTTAGCTGAAATTGAGTTAATGATTGTTCCGAAAAAGGCCTATTCTATCTATCAATTAGAAAATAAAGTCACAGACGAAATATTAACTAACTCAAGATGAAATTGAAGAAGGGTGAAATATTCATCAAACGAATCATTGATAGTTAAATGAAATATTTAAATTTCTTAAAGTTTGAAATAGTCTACTATCGGGAAATTCACCTAATTCACTTCTGTATGATGATTAATCTGATAGTCTTCGCATTGAAATTAAAGCATTTGAATTCAAGGTTTCAGTCTCACTGGACAACGAAACCGCTAGTTAAAGTTAAATATTTTCGGTAATATAATATCTAAAACGAATTCCTCCTGGAGCCCCTCTGAGGTTATTGTTGGTCCCAAGCCCGGAAAAGGAGGAGGGTTGGGCATGGGTTGGTGGCTCCATCCCGTAGAAAACTAACTCATTAAAATAACGCTAACCAGAAAAAACTATTTAAACCATTTAAACTCTGCCCTGGGAGTTATAAAGTCTTCATTTAGAAGAGTTATGATGCCTCATAGAGAAAGGTGAATCCCTTCGGAAGACACGAGGTTGATGCCCATTCCGACAACCAGAGTAACCATTAATTTAGGTACATGGATTGTTCGTACGATGTGGGAGACCGGAACAGTCACCCAAATTGCTGCAGAAATGAAAAGATACAATCTGGAGATGCTTGAAATCAGTGAAACACATCGTACGCAGGTTGGACAACGAAGACTAGCTTCAGGGGAGCTTCTGTTACACTACAGCTATGAAGAAGAAAAAGCCCCACATACACTAGGAGTTCTATGGATGCTATCCAAACTAGTGCAAAAACCACTTATAAGATGGGGATCTCATGGACCAAGGATCATCAAAGCCTCGTTCAAAACAAAGAACGTCATCCAATGCTATGTGCCTACAAATGACTACGATGAAGACGTTAAAGACCAATTCTACGATAGGCTACAGTCGATCGTCAAGAAATGCCCAACAAAGGACCTGACCATTCTGATGAGAGATTTAAATTCCAAGGTTGGGATGGATAACACTGGATATGAAGAGATCATGTGACGATATGGTTTGGGAGAAAGGAACGAAAATGGTGAGAGATTTTCAAACCTATGTATCTTCAATAAACTGGTCATAGGCGGCACTATATTCCACACAAACGAATTCACAAAACCACATATACTTTAGTTGATCACACTACACAGAACCAAATCGACCATATCTGCATCAATACAAAGTTTAGAAGGACGATGGAGGATGTGAGAACCAGAAGAGGAGCTGATATAGCATCAGATCTTCATTTTCTGGTCGCCAAAATGAAATGAAATTTTAAGAAGCACTGGACAACCGGGCGGACAACATCACAAAAGTTTAATACTGACAAACTCACCAACATGTTCCAGGCCATTCATGATCTACTCAGTGTAGAGGGAACTATTATGTAGAGCAACTGGAAAGGGATCGAGGAGGCAATCACTTCAACATGTCATTAGGTTATGGGCCAAAAGAATCACCATCATAAGGAATGGATCACTGTTGGTACACTGGATAAGATTGAAGAAAAGAGGAACAAGAAGGCAGCAATCAATATCAGCCGAACCAGAGCAGAAAAAGCCAAGGCACAAGCTCAATACACAAAAACAAACAATCAAGTGAAGAGGAGCATCAGAACTAACAATTGTAAATATGTGGAAGATCTAGCAATGACGGCGAAAAAGGCTGCAAGAGAAGGAAACATGAGACAATTGCATGATACAACAAAGAAACTCGCTGGAAATTACCATAAACCGGAACGATCAGTGAAATGCAAGGAAAGCAAAGTAATCACCGACATTGAAGAAAAGCGAAACAGGTGGGTAAAGAACTTTAAGGAACTATTAAATCGACCAACTCTACTGAACCCACCCAACATCGTAACAGAACCCACAGACCTCCCAATCAATGTTAGCGCGCCAACAGCAGGATGGGCATCAGACAAATCAAGAGCGGCAAAGCAGCAGGACCAGACAACATCCCGGCAGAGGCACTGAAAGCACATGTAGCAGCAACTGCGAAGATACTGCACATTCTTTTCAACAAGATTCGGGATGGAGGACAAGTACCAACAGACTGGAAAGAAGGACATCTGATCAAGATACCAAAGAAGGGCGATCTTAGCAAGTGTGAAAACTACCGAGGAATCACTCTTCTCTCAATGCCTGGAAAAATCTTTGACAGGGTATTGTTAAATGGAATGAAGGAATCCGTAGACACCCAACTTCCAGACCAACAGGCTGGATTCCATAAAGATCGATCGTGTACAGACCAGATCGCGACTCAACGGATCATTGTGGAGCAATCAATTGAATGGAATTCATCACTCCACATCAACTTCATTGATAGCATGGACAGGATAACACTATGGAGGCTTCTTCGACACTACAGCGTACTTGAGAAGATAGTCAATAACATACGTGATTCCTATGATTGATTAAACTATCAAATCGTGAATGGAGGACAGCTTACTAACTCGTTTGAGGTAAAGACCGGTGTTAGTCAAGGTTGTGTAATCTCACTCTTTCTCCTGGTGATCGAATAAATCATGAAGACGTCAACATCTGGAGGGAAGCACGGGATACAATGGACAGCTA